TGCATTTTATTCTCTCAAGAGAGCAGCTAAGAATGGAAATATGAAAGCGTTGAATACCATAGGATTGTGTTACCAAAAAGGTCAAGGGACAGATACTAATTTGATTGAAGGATTTAAATCATTTGAAAATGCGGCATTATGGGGACTAACTACTTCTCAATATGAACTTGGAAATTGTTTCGAATACGGGATAGGGACACAAATAAATTTGGGAAAAGCATTATATTGGTATCAAAAAGCTGCAACAGTAAATCCTAATTATCAAATTCATCTGACACGCACCGAAATTAAAATCAGAAATCATTAACAATTATTAAACCCAAACCTAGTTGTTTTTGTTTTTTTTAAAGCCATTTTATATTATGTTAGACAAAATCAAGTTGGTCTGGCCTAACTTATGTAAAGACCAGAATTTTTTTTAATATCACGCAGCATTAGATTCTTTGAAATCATTTTAGGGACTAAGTTCTGAAATAGAATAAATTCAATGTTAATATTGCAATATTTATTACTAAATAGTATCTATATAGTGTTCGGATACTTTTTATGCATAATAACTTAAATAAATGCATCATATTTATTTATAGAGTTAATTTCATTAAACTATATCTTCATCACAGTATTCTCATATACATGTTTTAAATATTAAATATGAGCGTCTATAAAGAACTTATATCTGAATGTCGGAGGGTATTTTTTCGTAATTTAAACTAAATTTTAAAATAACCAGTTTAAAAAGGTTTAATTAATTATTTTAATAAGTAAATTGATTTGAAACATTAACTATAGGTTAATTAATAAATAAAAAATAGTATTTAAAAAAAAATTCTTCCAGGCCTTTTGGATAACCCAGTTTAAGCAGAGCTTTAAAATAGAAATATTAATACCTAATTTAAATTAAGCTAAATTAATAACTGTTATTAATGAAATACGATCTTAAAGCTATTATGAATATCATATGATGTTTAAATTACTCGATATTTTTTGGTTTAAAAAAAAAAAAACTTTTAAAACAATATAAAACTGTTTATAACATTGTGTCTTAAAAGTTTCCATCTATAAGTGAAATCATCGTAAGAGTGTACTACAGTCATGCCGAATTTACTCGATGGTTAAGCTGCATAAAAATTTGATAAAAAGCATGAACTCATGTCTTTAGAAATAGTAGGCATTGTTATATAAATTTATGCGTTCATTATTTTGAAGATGAATTCAAAGAGCATACATCCTCTTAAATCAGTGACAATTGCACTTAAATATATTTAAAAAAATTAGAACGTCGCGTAATACCTTTTACATTTCCTACACGGAGAATCTTTATTGTGGATTGCAAGTATACGAAATTATAAATTATTGTGACGATAAAGGATATAAATCATGTGGATGCTGCAGGGACATAGAAAATTTTGGAACAAAATTTTTCCAAAAATTTCCAAATTTTAGTGCCTTACCCAAAGATTTCCAAATTTTTGGGGGTAATCCAAATTTTTCTATAACGCATGCGGTTTGACCAATAAAAATAAATCTTGGCACATGTGTTCTGGCCAGTAGAAATGTGTACTTTACAGAACCTTTGATTTTTGCTAAATATATATGCTTTATAATTATTATATAACAAAAATATAATAAAAATACTTTTTAGTCTGTTAAATTACTATTAATTTGCTTGTTATCATATTACTAAAATATAAGCTTTGCTAAGATATTGGTAA